CAGAGTAAACTAACTCTGGGAAAGGTGGAAAGTCTTTTGAAAAGATTAACCATTGGATATATCTTGAAGAAAATTGTTATTTTCCAGATCAATATGAAAAAGGAAAATGGGAAACCCTGGTAGACTCAGGTAGAGAAGGATCTGGTAGGAGTATGTGCCAGGAACCCAGAACCAGCAGCAGAGGCTGAGCGAGTGCCTGCACCCCACCCTCCCAGTCTTCCCTGGACCCACATTGCATCCTGGCTGCTTGGCCCCTCTTCCTCTTCTTGTGCATCTCTATAACTTACAAGCCGCTCTTTAAGGGAATGTACCTCAGAGTAATTATCTTATCCATATTCTTTTTTTTTTTAATCACCTGCCACTTCCACAGTAAGACAGCAACTTCATGAAAGCAGGAAGTGGGTCTAGATTGCCACCTGCTGAATCTCAGTGTTTAAATCCATGCCCAATACCCAGATAGAGCTTATAAGCATTTATGAAAGACCCAATAACTGAAACTGTCATGACAGTGAATAGGCAATCTTCTAATAGCTCTCTCATTAAACAAGGCGGCAGGACTAAAAGCCATCTGCACTGCTTAGCAATAGTATTATGGTTCAAGGCAATCTTTCATTTCTTGGAGTTTTCCTCCCATTCATCTAACAAAACCTTACGACACGTGAGGAACATCCCAGGTAAACACAGAAGGCTGAAGTAGGACATATCCAAACTGCAGCCAGAAATGTTTCGGCTCAGTTCTTCATAGCTTTGCTCTTGCTGGTTTTAGGAGAAAATAAAGAAAGCATTCATGTCAATCTGGAGTTAAAAAGCATGAACTAACCAGTCTTTTATGCCAGGTCCAGAGCATTTTATGTCTTTTCCCACATATATACTGAGTGGCCAGATTATTATGACCACCCCGTCAGTACTTCATTGACACTTCCAAAAATACTGAATATTGAAAACTTCCTAAGCAAATCCTCTCAAGGTTTTATTATTATTATTATTTGCAGAACTAATTCACTTAATTGTACTGCTGAGGTGGTCATAATGATCTGGCTACTCAGTGTATATCCCAGACTTAGTTCAGGAACTAAGCTGTTCCATGGATCCATTTAAAAATCATCACCAATCGACAGAGCCATCATAGTCAGCTTTGAAAACTTGCCCATCATGATCCTAACTCCCTAATGTTAGTGATTACGGCACGGATGAAAAGATGCTGGCCCCGTGATCCTCTCTGGCTGTAATTAGAAGATGCCTAAGACAGGACCCTAAGAGAAGCTGAGTGCTCTGGAGGACAAAGAGTTAACGGTGACTTGTACATGTTTTGCTCTGTGGACTTGGCTGGGGGCTGGAGAGGATAACGGAGAGTCCTAGTTAATGGGGCAACAGAAGAGAGGAAGATGCCAGTGATCTCTTGGCTCATCAGACAATGCAGAGACACTAAAAATGATAGAACTGTTTTGGCTTAGGAGCTGGAGGAGAGCTGCCCAGTTCTGGAGACATTCTGAGATCCGTGAGCGCCGGGCAGCCAGCAGAGCCAGGGCTGACCTTTCTGGGCACAGTTCCTATCCTCATTAAATTGAAAGGGGAATAAAGGACACCTTTGGCTAGCAAACACGAAGGCCCCTTTTTCCTATAAATGAAGAACAAAAACAGAAAGGAGATAAAAGAAGATGAACACCACTCTCACAAAGGCAATATAGTTGCTAGCACTTTGGCCTAAGGCAACTTATCGTTAATTATTCATGCAGATACGGAAAAGGCCAGTCAAAAAAATCAGATGTTTGCAGAACATGTTCAAAATATGGATCTAAAGAGAGCAAATGTGGATTATCAATTGGCGTTTTTTCTATTCACATTTGAAGATCCAGCATTATATAACACGAAGATAAAGGGATATAGCAATATTATGAGCATTTGGGTGATGTTCCGCCCCATTAGAATTCAACATGAAACATCCACAAAAAAGGGAAACAAATAAAGAAAAAATAGACAGGAGGGAAACGCTTATTTGCCCATATACAGTGTGTTCCACTCACAGTTTTGTTTGATATATTCCATAGCTTTGTTCAGAAATCTTTGTGTAAGTGAGTGCATTTTTTTTTCACTTCCTTGGGAGTGTGACACTGTGAATGCATAGCCACCATTTAAATATTCCATCTTCTGTGTCAGTGAACAAATCTTTATAGCAATACGGAAGAAAATATGGGTAGGTAGAAGTCATGGCACTTATAAACAGCCAAGTGAAAATCATCATTATTTTATCTGAGTAGGTGTGGAAAGTTTTGCATGAAGATTTGCTGCTTCAATACATTCCAATATTTTTATTAATAACAATATTTCTCTCCCATATCAATGTTTGGGACCACATTTTTTGGGGGAGGGGGCAGATTTATGATGTAGTTTTGTATCTGACTGAATAACTTTATGCATCCCTAAGTATACATGGAAAATGTATTTTGTTTCAAAAATGTATAGAACTTGCAACACTAATTTCCTAAGATATTTGAAGCTGGGGTCAGTAATCATGGAGTGTGGGCATTCATGTCTGTGTGGTGTCTATAGCTCAGGAAGAGAGGACCTCGGGAGAGACACTTTAATCGGTTGCTTTGCTTAGATTCTCACCCAACTCTGACATGTCATTCCTCCACAGGGTCACCCGAGTGAGCCTTGTAACACCCTCTGATCACATCCTACTGATATCCACAGATGCTGTTCAGACTTTCAGAAAAAAAAAGTACAAATTTCACAGTGCACCCTCCAAGACCATTCACAATCCAACTCTGGCCCACTCCTCAGCCATGTTTGTGCCGGTTTCTCAGGTGGTCTGTGATCCCTCCATCTTACCCAGCCACACAAACAATTAAAAAGCTGTTTGAGCACCTGCCGTATCCAGTGCAAGGTCTAGAGCAGCCGTGGGCAAACTACGGCTCGCGGGCTGGATCCGGCCCGTTTGAAATGAATAAAACTAAAAAACAAAACAAAACAAAAAAAAAACCGTACCCTTTTATGTAATGATGTTTACTTTGAATTTATATTAGTTCACACAAACACTCCATCCATGCTTTTGTTCCGGCCCTCCGGTCCTATTTAAGAACCCATTGTGGCCCTCAGGTCAAAAAGTTTGCCCACCCCTGGTCTAGAGGCTGAGGGTACCATGGTGCATAACAGATACATTTCCACATAGAGACAAGTATAGAGGCTCTACAATGGTGGGGAATAAGTAGGATGCTGTGGAAGCAATAGACTTGGCTGCGTGGAATGGTCACAGCTCGCTTGCATGGAAAATTAATGTCTGAGCTGACACCCACAGGATAGAAAGGAGTCAGTTAGCTAAACAGTGTATTACCCGGTACTCTAGAAGAGGGAAGCGTTTTCCCAATGCCCTGTAAGGGGACATTTTTAAAGAGCTGGGAGAATTTGAGGACTATGCTGCAGAGGGAAGTATTTGCAATTACCGCAGTGCGCCCTGCCTCTTCACTCCTCTGCTCCTATCTCCTGTGGGAAGCTTCTCCCGGGCTGCTTCTCATTATCTGCCCGCTGAGTTCTAAGTCCCCTTACATTTCTTCTTGGGAGTCTTCCCCAAGCACAGCATCCCCACCTTGGAGAAACTTCCACAGCTCCTCCTTTGTGTCTTGGGGCCTCTAGTTTGTATTGTGTTAGGATGTTTCACATGTTACACAGTCAATGGCTATTTTCTGATACCTTTGTTCAGGTCTGTAAGCTTTGAGAGCAAGGGTTTTGTTTGTCCTCATCTTACTTTCCCAGGTCCGCACAGAACAAGGCACACAGCTGATACTCACGTTTTTGGAGTGAAAGGGAGTGGAGATAGTTTAAAATGTCTTACATTCTTGTGCCCACCTGCAAATGTCTGTCTGGGGTGTAGGACAGGCAATCTTCTCCAGACATGTATGGGGAGATGAAATTAGTTCAGAGCTTTCCAGTGTACACGTGGGATCTTTATCTCCCCAGATAGCACAGAAGGCCAGAGTGACAGAACCACAACCCCACCTGTTTTTAAAAGGCCTACCCAGACCATGCAGTCTTCTGGGGAGAATAATTAATCAGATGGGAATGGAGACAAAGTAGAAAGAAATGCAAATACTTGATCTCTTTTTGAGTGAGAAGATAGAGTTCTTTTTAAAGTGCAAAGCATGTTTTAGGGAATCTTTGGAGACCTGGCCCATCAGAAAAGAAACACAGGCAGGATACCAGCGGGGGAGCCTCCTTTTCTTTAGTGTCTTCTTTGAGAAATAATTTTTCTTTTCAAATGAAAGGAGAACATAGATTGTAGAAATGCCAAGCGCTCAGAGAGACACACGCTTTAAACACCCTACATGGCACCAACCACTTTCTGAGCATTTCATAAACGGACATAACCCCTACCTTCCACGGTTGCTCTCTTGGGCTGAATGGTGATGGCTCCTTCCGCGATGTCTTCGTGTTGGTACAGTGGGTTTATTTTGGACCCCCAGCTGTCAGAGCCCACCCAAAGGAAATGGCCCACTTGGTCAGCTCTTTTGGCTGCTGCAAGGATCTGCCTGCAGAAAGGAATGAGAAAAAGTACATTAGGATAAAGAACAGCTATTGGACATATGCAAATTAGGGATCAAGCAGAAGGAAAGCAAGCTACCATTTCTCAAAGAGTAAATAACTGATGCCCAAAAGTTACAGCTTTAATATAAAAAGAGACTTTCTAAAGGAAAACCATCAAAGTGGCTTGAGGAAAATAGACAAAGTGTATTAAAAGTCGACAGATAAAAAGGAGAACTATAAATGACCAATAAACTGGTCGTTCACATACATTAGAAAGGAGGAACATGTGGAATAGAATAAGATATCAAATTCACTTCTTGGGTTGGCCAAATGTTTGTTTATTTTGTGTTGTGAGTTTGGCATGGGCTGGAGAAATGAGCACACTCGTTCTCTGCTGGTGGTAATGTCATTTCTGAAAGCAACGTGTTTCTTAATGAAAGGTCTTAAATTATTGATTAAAACTACAACTTAAGCTCAAACAATGTACAACCAATATTCATAAGTAAAAACTGTGTGTGTGTGTGTACATAACAATGGCAACAAGATGCTTGAATACGAATCATAATTTATATCATTTACGTGTATACTTTAACTTCCTTGTTACTTATGCTATAAACATATGCTTGTCACTGTAAAAGAGCCAGTTTAATTAAAAATAAAATAAATTAACAAAAGGGAAGCTTAGTTATTCATGGAAAAGTTATTACAATAATATTTTTGGAAGAACCGAGCATGGATAAGAGGTAACTACATTAGTAGAACAGAGAAAGCTACAACTGAAATGGTACTGGTAGGTAATATCAGAGGAGAAATTGTTTATTTACCTCTTAGGACTTGGAGGTACCAAGTGCCACAGAGGTGCATGGCCAAATTCAGTTGTCTTAGTTGAAAATCGTGCATAGAGTGGCAAAAGACAACACCTAGGTTTGCCTCTCCTTCTCCCACGCAGGATATGGGAAACTGTGAACAGCCAAACAATAGAAGGTTGTGGGCGAGCGATGATGAGTTAAACATGAGGGTGAGAGTGGCGAAACTGGGAGGAAGAAGTTAAGGGTACCATTAGTATTGAAATGGTAAGGCCCTCTACTAATTTATATAATTCTGAAAGCCAACCATGTGTGTTATTCCAGGAAGAAATTGCTTTTCTGAAAAAATCTGAACCCCCAGGAAAAAAAATCTTAGATATTGACATAGAGAGATCCTTGAATGGAGTTGACCAGGTCCACTGAGAGCCCTATCAAGCACACAGAATTTTTTAGTCTCTAACACAGCTGGGAACGATTACAAATCACTCATAATTGTGGAGAATCTTCCATTTAAAATAGAAAACAACAACAAAAAAAGTAACAAGGAAAAAATAAACAGCAGTGTGGGATAGGGCAGAGAAAATATATGAAAAAGAACAACAACAACAAAAAACAAATACATTTAAATGAGAATTATCATATCTGTAATCAAAAGCAAGACAGAAACCAACAAAAATAGGTTAATTTATAAAATTAAAGTTACATTATAAGATAAAAAGAAGAAATTTCTAAAGAAAATTCTCCAGGAAGCAAAACCATAACAAAGGGTAGAACATACACAGAAAAAAGGTGTTTCAAATAATGAATCCAAGAAGACATAGATCCAACTAATGCCATTTCCAGAGCAATGTGCAGAGAAAATAAAGTGAAATGTTTTGAATATTATTTTAATGAAAAAAAGCCAAGAAATTGAATGTACAAGTTCCCATATTAAAAAGGCTCACCTAGCATAATATTAAGGAAAAATCAAACATGTCACAAAATTTAAGATTTCTGAATATGAGAATATCCTAAATGCTTCTATGAGAAAAATCAGGACACATGCAGAGAAATAAGCAGCAGAGAGAAAAAAAGAGGAGTGATGGAGCAATGTCTCCCACATTCTTAGGAAAATTATTTATAATCTAGAATTCCAATAGAAATAGAATCAGCATAATCCATGGCTGTTACAGATTTTTCCATCCCAAATTAGAACCTCAAGCTCCCTACAAGACATTAGCCTGTAACTCATTAGTTACCATAGATATTTACTGTAATAATTCTGTGCCAGGTATGATGCATTTAAAAATAAGTATGAGTCTAGACCTTACATTCCCAACTACAAAGTAATTGTGGAGGCAGAATTAGAACATTTTTAGGCATAAAAGGCAAAAAATCTTTTTCTTTAATTTTCCTCTTATTAGAAAGTTATTAGAGGATAGCTCCAGCAAAATGAAGAAATAAACTATGAGTAAACATAAAAAAAGGATAGAGATTTTAGGAGGCAAGTGCCCAAGACAATAATACAGGTCACCTTATTAAATGGATAATAATATAAACACTGATTTATATTTAATGTAAATCTGATAGAATGATGTTGAGAAGACAATGAAGAACTAATTAGCCAAATTAATAATTCAAAAACTACAGTACAGACACATATGCAAGTAAGGCCTGAGGAAATAGCTTAAAGAATTAAAATTGTTGCTCAAAGAGAATAGAACCAAAGAGTTTAGAGGAATGAGACGGGAGACCAATATTTTGCACCAAAATTATTGTAGTCATATTTTTTTAAAAAATATGCATTTATTATTTTCATTAAAAAATGACACACAATCAATTGTTTATATTTGATCTAGAGGTACCACTTCTACTGCTCTACCCAAAGGAAATAACCAAGTATACTGTCAAAATCAAATGTTCATTAAAGAGACAACCAGAATGCAGAGCAATAGGGAACTGGTTACATAAAGAGAGTCCATCCAAAGAATGGATGGAGAGCAATTAAAAATATACTCAGTGTAATTTCCACAAGGTATTGTTAAAGAAGGAAAGCCAAATAAGCGGCTGCAAAAGACTGTTCAATTTTATATAATGAAAGCTGGCCAAAATTTGCCTGTATTTCTGTATATACGCAGTTAAAACTATAGGGTTATATAAGAGCACAGAAAAATACAGATGCCAAACGCAGGGGATAGAAGCTGGAAGAAATGGTAAATACTATTTTAGCTTAACTAAATTGAAATATATATGAAAAATATGAATAATATACAATCTGTTGTTAACAAATCCATTCATTGAGGAATTGCTGGTAATTCTGAAGAGAATGAAAAGGTGGGGAGAAACCAAGTGAAACAGGAAGAGAAAGATGAAACAGACATAAATACAAAAAGTAGACATTCACCTTGCCATATTTATGGAAGAGTGTGGGGTTATTTGTTAAGATTAGATGAAACCATTTTAAAGTACTTATGGTACAAAGAATGAAATGTGAATTGCAAAAAGTGAAATATAAAATTCAATGTGACCTTGATTCTGTTGGGGAAAACTTATGCATGTGTAGAAAAAAAATTATTACAAACCTCAATCCAGGATTTTTTAGTGATTATCTCTGAGTGTTGGGATGTCAAGTTTTATAGGGATTGCATAAAATCATAGTTTGTGATTATTCTCTCTCACCTTTGATTTTTCTAGATAAGCAGGTGGAAAAGTAAACTTAAGAGTTCCTTTTGATAAACAGCAACAGCAAAAACTTCCCCACAATGTTCAATGGACTTAAAATAGCCATGTATTGCTTTATAATCAGAATAAAGTGTTCCACAAAAGAATCCATTCTTGTCTAAGATCCAAATTATTAGTAAGCATGACTGATTTAGCACCTATCTCAGTTTCAACATCTAGATGTTAATATCTCCTCACTGCTATTCTCCAACAAAGTATTTCAAGTTAATGTTCTAAGAAATCTCAAAATTTCCAATCTACAGTGTAAATTTCCTGAAAACAGAAATAGCATAACATTGTAGGTCATTAATACTCTTCAGACATCAGTGTGTTTAAGATCATGTTCTGGAAGACACTTCTATATGCACTGAATTCTATTATTGTGCTCAAGAGCCATTACTGCTATCATTATCATAAATCACAGTATAAAATAATAAACACACAAACAAGCCCCAACACACAAAAATAGCACAGTTATTAAAATTATATATATTTTATATCCCAAATTAAAACCTCACACTACCTGAAAATCAAGAGTATTAAAACTAATTTATCACCATTGCTATTTGCAGTAAAACTTTTATGTGCTGTGTATGATGAATTTAAAAGTACAGCGCTCTCTCTCTCTTACTCTCCCTTTCTCTCTCTCTCTCTCTCACTTCTCTCTCTAAAATCAATAAAAAAGATATCCTTGGGTGAGAATTAAAATAAAAGAAAAAAAAACACAAAGCCACACCTTATCAATGTATTACATATTTTTAAATGTATAAAATATGTATGAAAAAGATATTTGAGATGATTAAGAAAGGTGTCAATAGAGTTGACAACACCTGGAGCAAAAAGACAGGGTATTATTATGAACTAAAAATTCTCTGAAATAACTAAATCACAAAGTATGCAAGAAAATGCCCTAAGAGCATAGTCAGCATGTTATAAGGAGAGAAATAAGGGTGATCAGAAGCAGTGCCCACAGAGAAGAGGCTATTTGGAGTAAAGCTTGAAGAACAGACACACTTGCAACAGGTAGAGAAAGAGAGAAGAAACACCACAGACAAAGCCATGATGGAGGAGGGACCAGGAAGGGTTGGAGGGCCAGAGTCAGGCCTGTTCGGAGGAGAACTGGGAGTGGAGAGGAGTTCTAGCTGTTAAAATAGAACCACTTGTGAAGACATCATGAAGGTCAGCAAGGCAAACCTGTATTTAAATTATTAAATAGTGGGCATTTGACTAGGCATTTTATTCACCCATTGAATGGCATTTATTAAGAATATCCTACGTACTGAGTACTGTAATAGGGCCTGAGGACACCCAACCCTCCCCCCGCCCCCCGACACACACACCCCTCTCCTCTGGCAACCATCAGTTCTCTGCATCTCTTTTGCTTGTTTGCTTTTTGGTCTTTAGATTGTACATATAAGCAAAATCATGTGATATTTGTTTTTTCTCTAACATTTCACTTAGAGTAATAATGCCCTTTAGGTCCATCCATGCTGTGACACAAGGTAAGATTTCATTCTTTTTAATGGCCATTACATACATGTACCACAGCTTTTCTGGCAACTTGAAATTAATATAAAATAATACTGAATGTAAACTATAATTGAAAAATAAAAATTTAAAGCCTCAGATTAAAAAATAAATAAAAATATTATCAGCAAAGAATATCATAAATTGGAAGTGGCTCTAAAAGATTAATGTAGTACAGGCTGGAATAAAAACAAAGAGCCATCATCTCTACCCTGCTATGGTTCTACCCTAATGATGCTTATGGATTAATGGAGAACACAAATGCTAAATAAAAAAAATTAAATGATATAAAACGACAACTGTGACACAAACTACGAAGAATTTTCCAAAGCTGCATTGTTCAGAGAAATCAACATTGTTCAGAAAGCAATGGTAGAAAGGTCATCAGACAATGAAGTGCCCTGCAGGGCACAGTCCTGACACCCATGATCAGAGCTTAAGACTGGCAAGATGGGTGGATGCAGAGGCAGCATGTAGGACACTGGAGGAGAAAGATGCAGACTGGGGGCTGGCCATGATGATCCTATATAATAAAAGCCTAATATGCAAATCGACCAAACGGTGGAACAACCGGTCACTATGATGCACACTGACCATCAGGAGGAAGACGCTCAAAGCACAAGCTGCCCCCAGCCCACAGGCCCCAGGCCAGCCAAGGCGGGTGCCAGTGGGGGCCCCCTGATTGTCCCACTGGTCACCCCACAGATCAGCCCTAATCAGATCAGCCCTGATTGTCAGCCAGGCCTAGGGACCCTACCCATGTACAAATTTTGTGCACCAGGCCTCTAGTAATGCAATAATTCCAGCAGGATGAAATAACAGTCTGGGCCCATAGATTTACCCTTGATAAAAGATATTAACCTTCAAATTCAATAATGTAGTATTTTAAACTATAAGGCAAAGATCTCATAAAACCTACACAGCTCTTTCACATAAGCAGAAGCATTAGCTGCACAACCTCATTATAAGACAATATTCATATATTGTTTAAGAAGGGACATATCTTTGTTCTGGGAACTTCTTTTCTAGGAATTTATAAATACATAGACTATAAATGTATAAAATAATAGATGTGTATATTATTATACATTTGTAGATATTATTATATCTTCACACATATATACGTTACATAACATGTGTATACTTATATTTGTACACAGATTTTTGAAAAAGGAGGTTTACTGCAGCATTATTTATAGTTACAAAACTCTGTAATCAAACTTAAATGTCAATCAATAAGGGGCAGTTAGATGATTTACAATACAGATATAAAATGAAATTCTGCACGGCTATTAAAAAGACCAAATAGATTTATAGGTACTGGCATTCAAGGACTTCCACAACACAATGGCAAGTGAGGGCAGGCAAGGAGGGAAGGAGAATGTACACACAGTATGTAGTGGTTTGTGTAAAAGACGGACTCCCTCCAGAAGAACCTGTAAGGAACTGGGAGGCACAACTTGTCAGCTAGGGAACAGGATGAAGGGGCTTTTACTTTCCCCCAGATCTTTGTATTGTTTCTGAGTTTTTAATCACATGTAATTACACTGCATTCTAAAAAAGATAAAGATAAATAAGGATTCTTGGTCAGGCTGGTGGCGGTAAGTAAAGAAAGCGGGGGTGGGGAGGTGTTTGGGTTCTAGAAACATTTTATTTTATTTTATTTTTTAAAATATATTTTATTGATTCTTCACAGAGAGGAAGGGAGAGAGACAGAGAGTCACAAACATCGCTGAGAGAGAAACATCGATCAGCTGCCTCCTGTACATCCCCAACTGGGGATGTGCCCGCAACCCAGGTACATGCCCTTGACCGGAATCAAACCTGGGACCTTTCAGTCCACAGGCCAACACTCTATCCACTGAGCCAAACCGGTTTCGGCTAGAAACATTTTAGAGGTTAGCTCTCCATGGCATGGCCAAGAATGCAGCAAATAAGGAAAAAAGGAAAGTCGAGATTACAATCAGATTTGTCACTCCAAGGAGGATGGAGATGAGGAAAGAGAGAGGAAAAGGTAGATCGAGAATGTAGAGGTGTGGCAAGTGTGGTTTTAAACATATGGAATCGGAAGCTGCAGCAATATAGCCAGCATTATGGCATTTTTCTTTTACATTAAGAGGAACATTCTTTGAGTAAGTCTGTTACATTTGGATAGATTTTTAATAAAAGAAACTTGCAAAGGTCTAGTGGTTTTCTTTTGATAAGTAATCAAATCCATTATTTTGCTAATAGGTGGGAAAGGCAGGACAGGACAGCAGCACAGGGCAGCTTCCATGGTTCACAGTAATCGTGTGTGGGGTAGAAAGCACATACAGCCTGGGCCACTGTGTGAGTATAGAGTTGATTCTTTGCTCTCTTTTTTCCCTATCTCTGCCAGTATTGGGATCTTTCTGTTCGCTAGCGCTGCAGCATGCGTATTAACAGATGTCACCAGTCAGCCTTACTTTATGTCCTCATCGTTGGCAAAAATCACGACGGCCCTGGAGTTGGGGGTGTCCAGGAGCTGTTTGATAATCTTATCAAAGTCAATGGTCCTGTCTTTGCGCTCCTGGGGGATTCTCACGGACTGGGCAATGCAGAGCCCACCTGTTTAAGAAAAGAAAGCAGAGTGTCAATCAAATTCCCAAAGACACCAGAGAAAGTAACTGGGGAGGAGGGGATTTTGAATTCCGAGTGCACAGCACTTTTTTAGTGATGTTGCTGAATGAGGAAGGCTTAAGACATTATGCACAGTCCTGAGTTATTGTTCATACTTGGTGCACCATCCATGGTATTACACAGCCTCATCCCCTTTGTAATGCACTTGTAAATGGCTAATTATGCCCAGGGATACCAATCTTTGATTCTGGGGAGGCAGGGGGAGGTTCACAAAGTGGGTGGGGGGTTTCTTTAAAATGAATGCAATACATTACAATAAAGCTATAATCAATAAACTAAATAATAATAATAATGATAGGAACAGGTAAATCTTATCTCTGTGACTTCTCTAGAGTTCGCATTCCATTACTTTATATTTTTTCCTTCATACCCATCCCAACATTTCAAGCTCAGAGCCAATGAAGTAAATCTAAAAATAAAACAATGACAAAAACACCACCAACAACTATTATAAATCATAGTAGCACATTTTTATGTACCATGTACTATGTGCTAAGCCACAATTGTTTCATGTATGTTACCTCACCTTTAAAATCGTATAAGATAACATTAGCCATTTTATGCGAGAAGAGGATTAAATAAATTAATTAATTTACTCCAGATTTCTCAGAGCTATATTGATATTAACTGATATGATGAATTTGAAGACAGAGAAATATGCAGCCATTTCCTGAGCAACTGAGAAACACCCCACAGCACCACCTCTTGCTTATTAGTAGTTCCTGGGTCAAGTACTCTAAATCATCCATGGGTCAGAGAGGAAGTGTCAAGGAAAATTAAGAAAATATTTCTAACTAAGTGAAAATATAAGTGCAACAGATTAAAATGCGTAGATTAAAGCGAAAGTGGTAGTTAGAGGGAAATACTTAGCATATTAGGCTTTTATTGTACAGGATGGAATAGAAAAGAGGTCCAGAAATAGAACAACATAAATGACGTCAACTAATTCTTGGAAAAGTGCAAAGAAAATCAATGGGGAAATGATAGTCTTTCCCACAGATGCTGAAACAAATGGGTATCCTTGTGCAGAAGTAATGAATCTTGACATGTAACACATACTGTATCCAAAAATTAACTCAAAATGGATGATAGATCTAAGTGTAGAGTCTGAAACTAGAAAACTTTTAGAAGAAAATGGAAACTCTGTATAACTTTAGGTTTGGCAATAAGTTTTTGGATATGACAACAAAAAGCATAATCAATACATAAAAAATTGATGAATTGCATTTTATAAAAGTTTAAAACTTGTTTTATAAAAAAATAGTATTAAGAAAATGAAAACATAAGCCAGAGTCTGGGCATTGAGGAATTACCATAATATATAAAGCACTCTTAAACTCAGCAGTGAAAACACAACAACAACAAAACTCAAGATGGGCATACCATCTGAATAGACACTTATAAGAAAAGATACAGAAATGGCAAATAAGCACATGAAAAGATGCTAAATATCAGTCATTAGGGAAATGCTAGTAAAACACAATAATTTATCACTAATGGCATTTTGATTTTTTTTTTAAGCTAACAATACCAAATGCTGGAGAAGATGCAGAGCAATAGGAATTCTTGTTCACTGCTGATGGGAAAGCACAATGGTACAGCCACTTGGAAAATACTTCAGCATTCCAAAAATGGTAAATACAGAATTAACACGCCAAACAGAAGTTCTAATCCTAGCTGTTTATCCAAATGTATTGAAAACTTATGTTCACACAAGTGTACTAACAAATGTTTATAGCAACTTTATTCATAATCACTAAAACTGGAAATAGCTAAGACATCTGTTGAAAGGTGAATGGATAAACAAACTGTGGTACATCCACAATAGACGACTCCTCAGCAACAACAAAAGAACTACTGATTTGTGGAAGAACATGAGTAAATGTTAAATGCATTTTTCCATGTGAAAGAAATCAAATGAAAAAGACTGCATAATGCAGCATTCTATTCATATGACAGTCTAGAAAAAAACAAACAAACGGGAGAAAAGTAGATCAGTGGATGCCAGGGGTTGGGAGAGAAAGGAAGGGTTGACTAAAAGGGACCACAGAAGGGATTTGGGGGTGTGGAAATACTCTGTGTGTTACTGTGGTGGCAGACACCTGACTCTGGAACTTACCAAGAACACACCACAATAATTCAACTTTACTTTTTGAAAAAATTTAAAAAATCAATCAGCATATCAAAGGACGCAGAATGGAATGCAGACTTTGACAAATGAACTCTAAGTGTATTAAGAACATATGAGGAAATTTCACTGAAGGAGATGAGTAAAAAGGAGCTGACCTAAATAACTGGAAAAAATAATATTTGACTGAAAACTCTAAGACTCTAAGACTAAAGACAAAAAGAAGTGTATCTCTGATTTGTAAATTTTTCACAGGGATATGAGTCAGCAATTCTGGATCTACCTTCCATACTTGAGTTTTTTTAAAAAGTCAATAGGTTGTAGATAATGAGCCAGGTTTCTCACTGTTAGGAAAAGAACTTATACATAAGCTAAAGAGTAAAGCTAGGATGAACCATGTGGTGCTAGTGTCAGAAATATCAGTGTAAATTCATGTGTGAGTATGTGTATGGGGGGAAGAAGGGAGATGGAGAGAGGGAGGGAAGGAAAGAGGGAGGGAGGGAAGGAAGGAGAGGGAGAGAGAGAGAGAGAGAGAGAGAGAGAGCAAGAGAGAGAGAGAGAGCAAGAGAGAAACTTCATACATGGGTTGTATACTATCCACCGAGAAGCCCAGAAGCAATGACATCCCATGGCCACCAGCACACCTAGTGCCTGGATGTTGGTTTTGAAACACCATCTTTCAACCAAAAGAACTGAGTACCTTTAGAGAAGTGGCTTATTTTAAGACTGGGGCAGGGCATATAAAAGAGACTGCAGTGGCAGGAAGCCAGAAGTACACAAATGAAAATAAAATTAGGTATGTCAAAAGGACAGAGGAGCCACGTGAAAGAGCATCTAATGAACGAAGCTAGGACAATAGGAAAAACAAGTGAAATACCTATGGTATTGAATGATCATCCGAAGAGTATGACATACATGCATGAACAAATAAATGACTAAACAAATAAATGACTAAACAAATAAGAGAGAAGGAATGGATGTTACAGAACAATTCCAAAGAACGAATATAGAATGAATAAGGAAATGGCATACATATCACTATTAGAACATTATAATGGTAACTAGAGGCCCAGTGCACAGATTTGTGCACACTGAAAGGAAATTAGAAGGTGGCCAACAGGGCAGGACTGGGCAAGATGAGCTGGACACACCCTGGAGCCAACCTTCAGCTGGCCACACCTGCGGCAATGCCAGGGCTCAAAGGGCATCTGCAGAATGAGCGGGTCCCTCTGGCAGGTGGGGTCCCTTGGCCTGGCCTGTGGGGATCTGCTGGGGTCCAGCCCCAGCGGGTCCAGGGGTCCTCAAAGGTGTGGACGGCGTCGGCAAAGAAGGAATGACATGGAGGCAGCATTCAGTTGATCAGCAGCATAGCCAGGATCTCCAGCCAAGTTCTGGTCCGGATCTCCAGAG